TGCATAATATATCTATCCTAATGATAAGCATGATAATTAATAACAAGCAACTATAAAAATGGATTTGATACACATAGCACTATAAGATCTAAATTCTAAATAAAAAAGGTGACAAAACATTATTTCATACATTGGCAAGAAATACATATAAGGTTTGGCATAAGAAAATTAATGGGTATTATAAAGTGAAAATGCCATAGTGCTGTGCAATTGGGAATATATGTTTAATTTTTGTTTTCTTCTGAAGAGACGCTGAACAATACTCGGAAATGGAGAAAGAAAAAGATATCACAGCTCGTGTGAAGTTTGAATACACAAACTGACAAAGAAAATGAGGACTATAGGAGAGACTAACATGCAAAGCAACAATATCATTAAAAACATATATATCAGTGACAAATGACAATAACAAGAAAATACAAGAAAATGACTTAAACACATGCTGGTCACACAGACGCACCATTCATAAGCCTACACAATTAACATGACGAAGAGCGATACATTATTGGTCCGTATCATGCATACCCTTACAAATTTGTTGTGCAAAATCTTGTAAAAGCACTTGCGCAAAAGGAGACCCCCACAACTAAAATTACCCCCGCGAAAAGCCTGAAAGAGCGATTAAGTGGCAAAAGTCAATTTCACCAGCGGGACATTCCATTTGGGTACACATACGGTTTAGTAATCATTTGCCAGGTCGGGTATGTGCTTGCAGATATGGATGCATATGCCCTGAGCCGTGAATGTGGGCCTGTGCGTTGATATTTTAATGCCGTAAACAGCAGGTTTCTGCTCTCCAGAGTGATGTACTCTGGAATCAGCGAGCCGTTGAAGATGAACAGAAGCGAAAGTGAAATGCCTTTGGGGTAATTCAAAGATATAAACAATCGCCCATAGACACAAGAGTGTGTTTCGTTGTTTGGGTTTGATAAAGTGGTATCATAAAATGCACACCTAAAACTTTAATCCTGTCATGTCCTGCATGGGCAGATGAAATATTAACCTTGGCACTTTGTACAGATGTAAATTTGAATAAAAAATGAACATAATTACATTTTTTTTTATTGGAAATAGCAAGATGATAAGTTTTTAATTAAAAACGACAGACATTCAGGTAGGAAAATGATCCTTGTCCTATGGAAACAAATCTGTTATGGGGAGGTGTCATGGTAGACCTAATTATCATCATTTTAATCAATCATAATCACTGTGCATCCATGAATAATGTTCTTCCTTTACTATCTCATGATAAACGAGCTTCATTCTTCATAATTATCATTAGTCGTTTTTCTTTCCTTACCCTTAATTCAAATACTCTGTATGATTTTTTCAAAAAGTGCATTTCACAGTTTCAACTTCTCCTTGGAGCTCCTAAGAACAAAGCTTGACAAGCGCTTGTGGATAGAACTCAAGTTCTCTACCCAACTTCACATGACCTATCAAATTGTATTAGACAATTCATTGGCAAGTCTTCGTCTCTGTAATGATAGAGAATTACTAGCTCTTTCCTAAATCCAAAGGCAATATCTTCCACAACGTTTGCTTCCCGATGGCAGTGCACTGTCCAAACAAAATCGATATCGTCACAACTCTGAAGGTATCAAATATCTTCTTGTACTCTTCCATGATAATTAAAACTTTCCTTCTATCTGCCCACTCCTTCCCTCTCCCGCCCCCTTCCTTACAAATTGCTTCCTCTTTTTCATGAGTTTCTTTCTCTTCTCAACTTCTTTCTTTCTTTTCGAGGGGACATGATTAAAAACTACCCTTCTCCCCCGAATGAAAACAGAACCTAATACTCTGGCAACCACCTCGTATTAGGCTCCCATTTCGAACAGCCCCTCCCAAACAGACCTGTTATCGCCAGGGTGTGGACAAGAGCGTTGGTCGGCACGCCATCACACTCGCGGAACTGTGTTTTCCTAACCCCAAAGTATGTTTGTGGGACTACACCTGTCTCCATAGGGATATAACATAAAGAGGGATGTTTTTGCCGATGAAAATCTTCCGCGTGTCGCTCTGGGGGCTAGAGTTTATCGATGCTGTGCACATGAACAGGATGTCATGCAATCTTATTGCTGACCTTTGACCTATACTCTCATACTATCAGTATTCTGTAAACTCAAATTAGATTTAAACAGCTTATCGGATGGTTTCATGTTTTTTAAACCATTTTTTTACCAAATTAATCAAACAGCTATTACCCAGGGCAAAATTTCTTGTTTCTTAAACAGCAGAGTACATTTCCAGTAAACATGAACAATTTAGTTTAACTTTGTAATTCAGAACAATCTTAGGTATTTTTCTTTGCTACCTTATTGTTTCCTTCAGAGTATCATTCAAAGAGACACTAACCTTACAATTTACAATTCTCTGTTGTAAATTCCTTTACCTACATTTATTATTTAATTATGTCTATACAGCATCAAATTATATTTCTTCAGGAACAAAATTTCTTTATGACCCTAGTATGAATTTGGATACAAAAAGTGAAATTTATTCGCTTGTTTGGCATCATATATTCTATGATTTTTTTTTATCTGCATGTATGACTCAATAATACTTTAATACTCTTTAGAATAATTGTAAAATATTTCATCAGCTTTATTGTAAAAGGCACAAGACTAGGAAATAGCATAATTTGAAGTGAAGGGCTATTTTTAGGTGAATGGAGAAACTCATAAACCTCTCCCTCTCCCATCTTAAAATGAGGTTTGTTTTTCATTCTCTACAATTAAATATTATTTGTTCAATTTTCAATAAATTTGTCTACACAAGTATGGTATAATCGCAGGCATTGTACTATTTATCACAAGTTTTTAAAAGATCATATCTCTAGAAACAAGAGCCGCTTCTATTTACAAAACTTTGATAAAAATAACTTTTCCGGTCTAATTTCAAGTAATTGGAAACACCCACTTGATTGAAGTTCAAGCCCAAGACAATTTCTCCTGCTCTACCTACTCAATTTCACGCATGGCCTTTTAAAGAGATTCCGATTCAATCTGACAAATGGACCTGCGTATACATCGGGATTATGTTACATAAACAGACTGTCCTGCTTTTAGCAGTGGCGGTGTGGTACAAATCTGACTAATCGTGAAAATATACAAACTGCCAGGGTTTTACCCCGAATGCTACTTTTTGAAGCGTGAGTCACCAGTTTGGACTAAGTAAGGTGTAAATCACTGCTCCAACAGCTGTTTCGAGAGAGCCATATCGAAAATCTCATTTAATTGAGTGAAATCCTTTTATATTAAATTTGATATCAAAGGGGACTGCCCTGACAAGAATCAGCTTGGTATTTATGGTTAACCTATAAGTTTTACGTTTCACTAATTGCTAGTAAATTCTTGAGTACCTGAATGAGATTGTATCCTGCAAAGGAAATGTAGAAATGTATTTGTATCAGAAGTGATTTAAAATTGTACATATCACACTTTTTAAACATGAACATTTTGTTTGTTTTATGGACCAGTGTTGTATTTTTCATTTTTTTTTATTTTCTTGAATCTGTTTCTGGCAACCACTCCCATCCCCTGCTTTGGCACCTTCTCAATTATATCCCTCCTTTGTATTCTCCCCCCCCTCCCCCATTTGCCCTTCTCTCCATCTCTCTGTCTCTCTCTGTATCTTTTGGCATACCCATGGCTAGTCTAAGCCTTATATGTATTTCATTCTGTCCAGCTCTCTATATTTCTTTCTTTCTTTCTCCCTCCTTCCCTCCCTCCACCCATCCATCCCACTTTCCTCTATTCCAGTCAACCCTCCAATTTCCATTACCCTTCCCTTCCTCTCTTCCTCATCCAACATTCTTCCTACCAATGCCTCCTCCACTCACATTCAGTGGTGGACTGGTGACCAAGTATCCCGTTCAGGTACTGTGACAGCCATCATTAGCGCGGTGTAATCTGTGCAGGCTAAAACATGTCAACAGTCTCTGCACACATGTCTTGCTCGACAAGGTCTGCCAGATTCCTGTCTCAATGTTTATGGCTCGTTCCCACTGCCATTTAAGACTATTCAACGTACATTAGGATCAGGGACGAAATTATTGAAAACTAATTTAGATCATTTCTGCATTTGCTTTTAATTTAAAGGAATAAATTCAATTCGTTGGGGGTATTAAATTAGAGAAAAATGTTAGAAGGAATATTTGTGACTTCATATTCCTACCATTGCAATTGTTAAAATTGTACTGAAAATCTCCCAAAGGAATCATCTCCCTACAAAACTATGAGACCTACAATGTACATTTCACCTTGAAAGATGTAGATAAAATGAGGAAAGGAGAAATATCTTTCTGAATAGTTTCTGCAAACTTCCCCTCATCATTATCATGCTGACCTAACTTACCGTATTCTCTTCTTTCAAGCAATAGAACCTTTCGAGTGCCTAGGGTGGGGACGTACATCGCCAGACGAAACATTTTGAGCTATGGGGACAGGACTGCTACGCAAATGGATTTGTTTACACCCTGAGAGGGATGTTCCTCACGGAGAGGAATATGATTTGTTTGTCTAGCATGAAGAAAAACCAACAGTGTCGCTACGCTATAGGTCGTTATCTTCATCAATCTAGTCTATCCCTGGATATATTGTAAGTCTCTCCGGAAATATCATAAGTTAAAGATATAAATTTGATTTCTATTTCTACCGTTGCAGAACATAAGTGATCCCGAATAATGTAGTGTGATGACCTCATTCGGCTTAAGAGATGGCACGTTTGGACTAATTTGCTTTTCTCGGATATCAATTACAACTGTAATTACTAGCACTCATACATGCCAATTAGATACATACAGACAAACAAACAAAAATACACACACAAAACTCTTTCACTCCTAGCAGAAGAGGGTGAAATGTACGATACAATAACTGAGAAAACGGACAAACACAAAACAAAAAGGAGAAAACATATAATAAATTCTAAAAACTTCTGCAGGCAATCTCTGAAATATGTGATTCCTTTTGATAATAAAAATGCATTTTGTGACTTACTGTACATGGTGAGGTTTGCTGATGCCTCAACGGCTGGCATCCCCGAGCCCGCCAGGTCACCGATGCACCTGTAGGTACCCGCGTTGGCCTCGGTGGGGTTAAAGATCTTCAAGATGGCCCCCGTGGCGTCCAACCCCTCTCCGTCCTTCTGCCAGGAGATCTGGAGAGAGCTCAAAGGACTGTGAAGAAAGATGGGACAAATGGGGAAAGTGTTTTTTAGGATCACAAATTACATCAAAAGATTGGTTGTTTATGTTCTCTATACTCTTTTCACACTCATTATTATCCGAGGGGTCCACAATTTACAAGCTCTGCTTTTTAGTGGACCTCTCCATTTCCTCAAAATATGAATGCAGTTGAATTTATAATTTAAGTTTTGTCTTCCTCAAATGTATAAATTACTGTTAAGATTTGTTTACAAATTACAAATGTAACTATGTTTTGTATGCATTTTACATTGTATTCGTTAAAATGCATTGTATTTTGTTGGAAATTAAAAAATTTAAATTAAAAAAAAAATGAAATATTGGAATTGTACAGAGTATACAGCCAGAAATAGCAGACAGAGTAACCAGCCCTGACAGAAAACAAGCACATGTATACTGACAGGGAAAGTCAAAAAAGATTTTATCTTCTCAGAGCCAGGTGGGCGCTAAATCATTTCATTTAATACAGACGCAATACCAATTTTAAATTGGGTAATTATTAGGCCTGGTACAGCCAATAATGTGAAAAAAAATCAACTATTTTAATGATGTCATTTGTAACAGGACCTGACAGAAAACAAGTACACGTATAATGAAGGGAAAGTCAAAGAAGATTTGATCTGTTCAGAGACAGATGGGCACTAACTCATTTCATTTAATACAGAGTCAATGCCCTTCTGGCTCTCAACTCAATAGGCCTGTCTTCATCAGACCAAAGTTGCAAAAGATCCCGGCACTTTCAGATTCGTGATATTTTCCCGAAGCTCAAAATTGCATTTTCACCAGTCCGATACGCTCATCATAAACTACATATAGCTCGGGACGGGTGCAAATTAGCCTACTATTTCCCATATAGCGGGCTATTTTGGAAAAAACACAAAGATTTCTTGGGATATTTTCTTGACCAATTTATTTTGTAACTTCAGTCTGATGATGACAGGCCTAATAAGAGATTTCTAGGGGATTGGTAAACACATCAGTAAACTAAAAGAGACGATATGCTAATGGAAATAATTTCAAATTTCATATTGATATGCCGGCCTGGCCATCATCCCTGAATGAATTCCTTGAGAAAAGTGCTTCCAATTTAATACAATGAATCTATGATGGATGCAGTGCGATGCTCACTGCAAGGAACACCCAATTTAAATGCCGCTCCTCCTCCAAATCACCATGACTATTGACTACTGTATATAATGGAAATTGCCTCAATTTCAATTTTCAATTCTTTATGCAAGAATCAATCATCTCCCACGCTACAGTACTGATGTGGAAAGCTTAAAGGGAAAGTCCATCCCAACGTTAGAACGAATCCAATGATGCTTAAGTATAGATCACTGATAGTTGGATAAATTTCTGATACATGATAGGAAAAGTTACACATTTTTAAGTTGTAATTGATTTAACATATATTAAGAGTAATATCTCCCCTTTAAGAGTAATATATCTCCCCTTTAAAGCTAAAGACCAGTTATGGTCATGCGATTGCATTGTGAAAGAAACGTTGTGAAATCGATCAGAAAAGGTGGATCATCTAGCATAGATGTACTGCAAGGTTCTGGAATCATCAAAATGATAAGAAATTTGGCCAAGTCTTCATACAGTTAGAAGCACTGTACACAGAAAGATGTATACGGGACTACACACACGTGCGCGACACATGCATTTCCTATCTCTCAACAGGCGAGAGATACACTAATTTACCAAATATATCAATTAGAAGGCGGTTTCCCATCAAAATTTTTATCATCATGTTATATTCAAAACATATTCTTTCACATGATTGGTAATAAGAGCTTCCATTTCATTTTTTGAAATTGGGGAGTTTCCAATACTGGTCTTTACCTTTAAGAGTAATATCTCCCCTTTAAGAGTAATATTTCCCCTTTGAGAGCAATACCCCCACTTTAAGAGTAACATCTCCCCTTTAAGAGTAATATCTCCCCTTTAAGAGTAATATCTCCCCTTTAAGAGTAACATGCATTCACACACTTACTGGGCACTGATGATGCATTCCATCTGTACAAAGGACTGTCCCGGCCTGACGACTGTACTGCTGGGTGGGAGGACGAGAGTGGGTGCGATGAATGCAGGGGGCGTGAAGGTACCTGAGAATGATATAGAGAATGGATGAAAAACAGTAGAAGCATGTTTACAAAATTTAATTTGAACAATTTTGTTCTGCTTTGCTGTGCCAATAATTACTTTGAATTTGTTTGTTGGTACATATATCGATGTCAATTTTCTTAGAATGAAAGAGAGAATGAATGAAAAAGTATGAAAGTGTTTAACAAATTTAAAAGGTTATGTTCAGGTTTGTTTTGCTCATAAGTACCAATTCTTGTTTGCTTATATGTTAGCATCAATTGTTTTTTGTATAAAATAGGATAGAGAAAAACACATGACATAAAATTGTGTTTATCAAACTGGAAGCATTATAGCTTGGGTTTTGCCACAAAGTACCACTTTTATCTAGCATATCCAGTAGCATCACTCATTTTATTTCCCATCTTTGACTTTCTTTAAACCTTATACCACTTTGATGATTAGGACTTTATGAAATTCTAGTTTTAAATGTATGCGAGCATGCAAGGTACATGTTCCATTTACGATGACTGGGAAATAGTTCAACCATGGGGGCAGATACATTGCAATAATCCGGTCTGCGAAGAGGAGGATTAATTGTTGCGCGAGGAGAGAAGCCTCACAAGTGCCAATAAGTTTGATAGACAGGCAGACAGTGTCACCCCAATATCACATGTTGAGCAACAGAAAGACATTAAACTCTGTATTAACAATATACATGATCCAGCACCCTTCTGGCTCCAAACAGAGGATTTCATCTCAGAGCATACGTATAGGGCTTTGCACTCTTACTAATCACTGCAATATCACATGTTGAACCACAGAAAGGCATTTAACTCTGTGTTAGAGATATATATATGATCCAACGTCCTTCTGGCTCCGAACCCCAGGATATCATCTCAGAGCATACGTAGGGCTTTGCATTCTTACTAATCGCTGCACTCTACAGAAAGGTATTAACTTTGTGTAAAAAATATATATGATCCAACGCCCTTGTAGCTCCAAACCCCGGGATTTCATCTCAGAGCATACGTAGGGCTTTGCACTCTTACTAATCGCTGCACTCGATCTACACATAATCTCTGAACATGATAGATACTCCTACGCCATGTGGAACTGATTTGGTTTCTTTCTAAGGATATCCTGGGAGAAACATGGTTCCTGGCAACGATATCCTCTCAAAATGGTCACTCTCCCTCTTGGAGAGATGCATGACAATATCAAAGAATGATAATGTAATGTAAGCAGTTATATGATGACACATTTATGCTATTCAGATACTATTTAGAGACCTGGGGGGTGTTTCACAAAGATGCTCAGTTGAAATTAACTCTCAATGAACTTAAAGATTATGGAGAGCCATTTGTAGCCATCAAATGAAATATATTTAAAAAAACAAAAATTCAAATTTGTTAGACTTTTCATTAATTCCACTTCCAGAACATGAAATCTCCTTGATAATAGAAAATATGAATGATTTGAATCAACATTTTATGCCTTTTTAAAATAACTTTTCCAAAATATTTTCAAAGATGCTAACGGCTTTCCATAATTGTTAAGTCCAACTTAGAGATAAATTCAACTTAGGATCTTTGTGAAACACCCCCCCCTGGTCTTTGTATTACTAAGCACGTGTAGTTCAAATTAAGGCAGCATTGAATTCTAGCTGTAAGGCAAGTTTTGAAATAATGTGTTACAGGGTTTTCTGGAGTTGCTGTTTGTAATGGGAACATCTTTTTAACGGTCCAATTTTCCTCATGGCAAATTCCATGACAAATGCTCTGGCTTCCTTAAGGTTAAGAGCCAAAAGGACATTTGTCTACATGATAATAACAACAATAATAGCTAGTTCTTATATAGTGCTTTTCAGGACCGAAGGCCCTCTCAAAGCGCTTTACAGATATATATAGATATATATGTATTTAAAGTAAAACTATACAAGTGAACAGCCTTCTTGTTGTCAACTGATAACATGTACCCACCTTGAACAGTTAGCATCACACTAGGGCTGGTCTGCGTGTATCCATAGACGTTGTTGTTGGCGTTACAGGTGTACGAGCCCTGGCGCTGGCTGGTGGCTTGGAGTAGTACCAGTCGCTGGTCTGCGGTCACCAGCTGGTCTGGACCCAATATGATGTCGGTCCCGTTAAACTGCCAGGTTACGGTCGGGATTGGGTAACTGTCTGCAATGTTGAAATTTAAAAGCAACAAAAAGCTATTAGTTCTCTTCTTCGACATGCATGAAAGTCGACTGTTGGGCCTGCTTACATTACCACAAAAAAAGTGTGTTTCATCCTTAATTGACTCTTTTGGATGGTGATGTACTCAAAAGACCCAAAAGTAAAAGATCCCTAATTTCATTGAACCATATTTGTACAAAGTGAAATCAAACAGTATCTCTCTTTCTTCAAATATAAAAGTGTGTCAATATCTATGTTGTGTGCTCAATTGGGAAAAGTGGCAATAATATACCAGAGAGGGATAGATTTATATATTTTCATATAAGCATAACTAACCCGGTGAGTAATGAGAAAATGGGAAGGAGAATAGGAAACAGTGATAGGAGAATATACAGTATGACAGCTACAAGAAAAATGAGAATGAAGCATTTGAAGTGAAGATCATTACAAAGCATGAATATGAACAAGAGTATGAAACAGGAGAGGAAAAAAATGTAAAATAATTGGGGCTACTTTTATCTGACACACCAAAAGCTGGAAAGCATCATCATTTATATTCATTATAACTTGGAATTATCAAGAAATATATATGAAGCAAATTCTATTCAATAGACTAAATGTACAGTGTATAATGATTATTAATTTGAAATGATTTATACTCAGAAGGACATCAATATTGTGAGTTACTTGATATCATTTCTACAATGTTTAACGTCTGTAAGACACATCCTACATCCGCTGTGCTTTATCACGATTCAACTATAATTCCATGAATTCCACTTGGAATCATCCGTTATTCTGCCAAACAAACTCAAACAATGACCCACCCCGCTGACTCAGACGAGACAGAAATTGAGTATTTGTCTTCCATTTAGAGATTATTCCCCACACAAACCTGTGAAAAGTTCTTTCTCTTCATTTGCATTCTATTGCAATGCCCGCCCAAGGATACATAGCAGAGAACAAATGAATACATATTTGAATAGAGACAGACTAGTCTACATCAAATGTTTATGACTTCAAACAATGGTGATGATAAGAGCTTCCAAAATACAAAATACATTAAAATTCCTATTGTGTTCAATTTTAGATCAAAACACCCATTGTGAAATAGCAAAGTTGCATATTTTCTTAAATTTTTGCTATGATATCTCATTTTATTGCAATCCTTCACTGAGCTCATGGTCATATTATCAAAATATGTTTTGGGCTTAGGCTAGTCTCGAACAAAATCTTGTAAACAAGTAAGCAAAGACAGGGTTCAAAGTCCGGACGAGACCGAAAGAACAAACGCAGGCATTCTACGGTTCGGGAATGATTCACGCTCAATAGATGCAGACGCTCACTGTTTACCCACAACGTATTTACACAATGGTGACATTTAAAGAGATACTCGGGGAACCGGAAAATGAAGAGGAATTATCTACTCACAATATTTAGATAGAGTTTAATTAGAAGAGGATGTGGAAAACCATCAGTTTTATTGTTTGCACAAAGCAGATTCATTATCCAATATTGAATATTGAAACGATGCGTTTGTTGAAGGTCGTTTCTTTTTTATAATGAATAGCCAGGGGATATGTGCTCTGCTTGTCTAAAAAGAATGACATAATCCACAGACTGGATTGTTCAATTACAATGATAAGGGGTTATGCTTTCAAGAATAATTTCATCTCTTGCTCACAAAAAAGATCAAAATCATAAACAGAAGGAGTGGTAACAGTGGTTTGATGGAAATGGGTTTGCTGGGGGGGGGGGGGGGGGGGGGGGGAGAAATTGTCTTTGAAGAATAAGCCTTGTTGTATTGGTGAATGTAGTGGGGTTTTTTCATTTTTCAGGGAACCTCTCAACATACATGTATGAGCTAGACACTCTTTGAAATGGAATCTTACCATAGGGAGGGCAGGTCAGTATCTTTGCATCGCCCGCACTGACCATTGTCGTCTGTGGGGCACCGCCGTATGCTTCAAAATCTGGAAGAATAGATGAAAAGAGAACATACTGATGGTGAAAAATGTCCATAATATACATGGAAATACCACACATAAAAGTTAATTGCTTATAACGCATTGGTGATTACAAAGAATTCATTTGTATAGCTATTTACAAGTAAACGACACGCTAGATATGTGCAAAACCATATCATCGTTGTGTGGTTATGAGTGAAAGATTATTGTGTGTTGTGTTTTCAAAGAAAGCTAAGCATATACATATGTTGATTGTCATGTCTCATGTGCATAAATTAACAAACAAGCCAAATTCAAAGTTAAAACCTGTTAGGCTACTGTGCTGTGAGAATGTTTTAATAGCATACCAATACGGGTAGGATTATATTTATGCACATTTACAGATGAGCATAAAGATTCATGAATATGAGATTGCTATGGTATAATCAGAGGGCATCTGTCCACCAAACCAAAATTTGCCCATACCTAATTTACATGTACATGTGCCCTCCCCCCCCCCCCCCAACTCCCATTAAATGTATTACTACTTAGTACTTAGTATCAACTTTCTGTTAATATAAAATGTAATTTTCATAATAATATTTATAATGTTCTTTCGGTAACTGTGTTAATTTATTATGGGCATTCCCAACTCAAGCGATGCTTTCCGGGTTTTCGCCTCCTTCCGTATCTGAATTATTTACTGTATACTCTATGTTGAAATAATTGTTACATACAGTATGAGTCAAAATAAACTACCCCCCCTAACGCGTGTAACGTTTGCAATACGTTAATTATATATTTAACGTTTGTAGGCGTTACCCGTTAGACGTTAGCGTTACCCGTTAGTTTTGTTAGTTTTGTTAGTTTTGTTAGTTTTGTTAGATGATGTTCTAAAATTGACCGAACGAAGGAACGATATATGCGCTTCACGAAAATAATGCCTAAAATATCTGAAACATCGTAATTATCATCTCAAAATACGAGCACGAGTATGTTCAAAATTATTTACGATAAAACAATGCCAAACTAATCTGAAACATCCTTATTATCGTCTCAAAATTAGCGAATGAAGTTACGATATGTGCTTCGAGAAAATGATGCCTAAACTATCTGAAACATCGTAATTATCTTCTAAAATTGACCGAAAGAAGGAACGATATATGCGCTTCAAGAAAATGATGCCTAAAATATCTGAAACATCGTACTTATCATCTCAAAATACGAGCACGAGTATATACAAAATTAAATACGATAAAACAATGCCAAACTAATTTGAAACATCCTTATTATCGTCTCAAAATTAGGGAATGAAGTTACGATATGTGCTTCGAGAAAATGATGCCTAAAATATCTGTAACATCGTAATTATCTTCTAAAATTAGTCCTTGTTTTCACGAAGTGACGGTAGTGAGGAAAATCGTAACGCAAAGTGAAAGCAATTTTTTTTCACTACCGTCACTTCGTGAAAACAGCGACGAATTGACTGAACGAAGGAACAATATGCACTTCAAGAAAATGATGCCTAAAATATCTGAAACAACCTAATTATCATCTCAAGATACGAGTATATTCAAAAGTATTTACGATAAAACAAAGCCAAACTAATCTGAAACATCCTAATTATCTTCTCAAAATTTAGTAGCGAACGAATTAACGATATGCGCTTCGAGAAATTGATGCCTAAAATGTCTGAAACCATGCCCCAAACGTCGAGTCTACCTTTATCCTATTAAGTCCCTGCTTACTCGGGCTTCAGGACATCACTTTCACATGTCATTCCTTTACCTCTTCTCCAAGTAAATCTAATTATCTCTAATCCTCTTAACTAGCGAGGGACAATTATCTATTACGTAATCACCTTGACTAGAATACCTTTAATCACGAGTGTGCCAGATTAACTGCGTTTGTCTCAGTGTGTGTACTAGAACTTGTACTATAAATTGAAAGAGATATAGATCGCGGGAGAGAAGCGGAAACAATAGAATATCGCTGATGTTACAGGCTTTTATAACAAAAAGTAAGCCGACAGACCGAAAGAAATGAATGAAGAAAATGAAAACCAATATCACTGGCACTTGAAAAAATGAAAGAGACATTAAATCGCGGGAGAGAAAGAAGCGAAAACAATCAAATATTGATGATGTTACAGGCTTTCATGACAAAAAGTAAGCCTACGCACCGACAGAAATGATTGAAGAAAATGAATGCCAATATCATCGACGCTTGAGAAAATAAAACAATAAATGGGTTGCGGGAGACAGAAGCGAATTCAATTAAATATCGCTGATGTTACAGGCTTTTATGACAAGTTAGTAAACGGAACGAAACAAATTATTGAAGCAAATGAATGCCAATATCACCCCGGCGCTTGACAAAGTAAAAGAGAGATAGATCGCAGGGGAGGGAGAAGCTAAATCAATTATACATCGCTGATGTTACAGGCTTTCGACGGAACGACCAAAATGATTGAAGAAAATGAATGCCAATATCACCAGGCGCTTGACAAAATAGATCGCAGAGAAGAGAGAAGCGAAATCAATTATATATCGCTGATGTTACAGGCTTTTACGACAAAAAGTAAGTCGACGGAACGAAAAAAAATGATTGAAGAAAATGAATACCAATATCACGGTTAACACCAGGCGCTTGAGAAAATAAAAGAGAGATAGATCGAAGGGGAGAGAAGCGAATCAATTATATATCGCCGATGTTACAGGCTTTTATGGCAAAGAGTAAGTCGACGGAACGAAAGAAATGTATGAAGAAAATGAATGCCAATATCATCGGCGCTTGAGAAGGAAAAAGAAAGATATAGATCGCAGGAGAGAAATAAGCGAAAACATATAAATATCGCTAATCTTACAGGCTTGCATGACAAAGAGAAAGCCTACGGAATGAAAGAAATGAATGAAGAAAATGAATTCCAATATCACCAGGCGCTTGGCAAAATAAAAGAGAGATAGATCGCAGGGAAGAGAGAAGTGAATTCAATTATACTAAATATCGCTGATGTTACTGGCTTTTATGACAAAAAGTAAGTCGACGGGACGAAAGAAATGAATGAAGAAAATTAATTCCAATATCACCAGGACATTGACAAAATACAAGAGAGATAGCTCGAAGGGGAGGGAGAAGCTAAATCAATTATACATCGCTGATGTTACAGGCTTTTACGACAAAAAGTAAGTCGACGGAACGAAAACAATGATTGAAGAAAATGAATGCCAATATCACCAGGCGCTTGACAAAATAGATCGCAGAGAAGAGAGAAGCGAAATCAATTATATATCGCTGATGTTACAGGCTTTTACGACAAAAAGTAAGTCGACGGAAAATAAAAAAATTGATTGAAGATAATGAATACCAATATCAAGGTTATCACCAGGCGCTTGAGAAAAATAAAAGAGAGATAGATCGAAGGGGAGAGAAGCGAATCAATTATATATCGCCGATGTATACAGGCTTTCATGGCAAAGAGTAAGCCTACGCAGTGACAGAAAATGTTTGAAGAAAATGAATGCCAATCTCATCGGCGCTTGAGAAGGAAAACAAAAAGATATAGATCGCGGGAGAGAAATAACGGTAAGCGAAAACAAATAAATATCGCTGATCTTCCAGGCTTTCATGACAAAGAGTAAGCCTACGCAACGACAGAAATGTTTGAAGAAAATGAATGCCAATCTCATCGGCGCTTGAGAAGGAAAAAAAAAGATATAGATCGCGGGAGAGAAATAAGTGAAAACAAATAAATATTGCTGATTTTACAGACTTTTATGACATAAAGTAAGCCTACGCAATGACAAAAATGATTGAAAAAAATGAATGCCAATATCACAGAACTACACGTGCACTACACTGTGAAGATCACTCCCTGGCCCTTGGCTCATGAATATAACTGTCAGATCCTGAATAGGGGCTATGATAGGATTAAGGCGATTAGCAGGTAATCCCTTATAAGGGATTACGAACAACCCTGTAAATGTGATGTCCCTACTTTCTAAGGGGGTTTGAGTCATGCATCGTAATTATCATCTAAAAAAACAAGCACGCATAAAATTATATTCAAAGTGATTTACGATAGAATGCCATATCAATCTGAATTTCTGAAACATTGTAATTATCTTCTAAAATTTACCGAAGTCTGGATATGCGCTTCAAGAAAATGATGCCTATAGTATTTGAAATACTTATCAACTCAAAATACGAGCATGGAATTTAAAAAAAAAAATTCGACAAAATAATGTCAAACTTATCTTAAATTAAGCTGATAATTCATATAGACGGACGATAACTGACTTCAAATCCAGGTACTATTCCATCAATAAGGTCAAAATAATGAAGCAATTATGTCATCATGAGCGCGAGATTTTGCAAACGTAAGACACGTGAAAAAGCATTGTACTCATCCCGATTCATCATTGAACGGTTGCTCGCCCTAAATCAAAGCCATTTTATTCGATGCCAATTATGCCCACTGTTAGCTCAAAATTGTTGAGTTTTTACAGGTCTTCGGTCTCGCAAGGTGAACATCAGAAGCAAAATCTCATTTTCTGCCAATTTCATAGCAGGACAAAGAGGAAGAAAAACGCGATGAAAAGTATAAAAGATAGGGATCCAATTTATCCGGATAGCTACTGCTTTATAAATTTGTTCCCCTTGCCACACATTTATAATCCCATATAGGAGAACAATGCAACGCATGTATCTGAGCAGCGTCTCTGCTACCATCGCATGTCAATCATGAACAATGGCCTAGCTCTTTTGTTCACTTTTGCAGTACATAATAATTAGTAGCCCCCTGCTGCCAATGACGAGAAACACCTCTATTTTCTCCATGCCTTTAAATATTTAATTTGTAGTGTGTCTTTTTTATCTTTTGCATCCAGGACATGGCACAGAAAACATGCCTTCAGGAACGGTTGCATGAATTTATTTTTACAGAAATATGCATGTTGTTGATTTATGTTTATTATTTTGTTATTGGTTGCTATTTTTGGTACTAACAACGTCGTTTATAATACTAA